AGTCATTAACTAATTAATATGAATGGGGGTGTGCGATAGACTTACCTCCACGTGGTGCACCCTGGGCAACGTATACTCATGCGGCAAAAAAGTCTGTTAATCGGCATTTGACTTCTGACTTCAAACTACCACGACCCCCCTGGTTGTCATGTTCGACCCCTACCACAGTACTCATCTTACCTTTTTCTCTACCTTTGTGTCTGTCTGCCTCTTTTACATCTGTGAATCGCTCTTCTGTTCCCCACCCCTCAACTTTCTTCCACTTTGATGAACCTTCCCTCTGTGAAACCCGAAGTCAGCTAAACGGCTAATGATAGCTATCAAAACGACTGCCATTTGAAATAAATAAATAAATTAGTATGAATGACTGTCATTGTCAAATTATCAGAATCAATCAAAGTTACCAAAAAATATACGCCATGGGCGGTATTCAAAAATGATAAAGCCGACTTCTTACTTGTTGACGAGCAGTAAGAAAAATGAGGAATCGAGAGAGGAGACCACCAAGACGAGACATCTGTTCCAGCGGAGGATGACCTGTTTGAGGAGTGGAGTGGTACTTTTCTGCTAAGCAGAGCACCGTATTGCCCAGAAGTATCACATATTGCCAGCAAAGCTCTGCACTTCCATATCTGCGTGCAAGAAATCGATGTGATTTTAAACACTAGTGTTTCATGGATATTTCATTTAAGGTAAGTAAAATATCGTGTTCATAAATTTAGAGAGCCCAGAATTCGGTGTTCATTGATACACAACCTGTGAATGAAATAGTTATGAATGGGATGGGAGAATTCGCGTTTCTCACCAAAATACCTGAATATAATCCCTCCTCTAAGAGATTAAACCCAAGATGTCTGTTAGAGGTCAATGAAACTAGTAATACGACGGAGATCATCAGAGCTGGCTCAAGGAAAGCATAACTATTAGCCCTCCTAGAGTTTATCTTCTGTATGATATGCATCTCAATGTTAATAGGCTTTTATTGATGTAGGTATTTCATGATACCTGGCTTCGGATCCAAAGGTAGTCATGAAATTATGATTTTAAAAGGTGTTATTTTATTGCTTGCGAAAGTTGACAGTTTGACAACCATATTCTCATGTAGTTCAGTTTGGACGTACTGTAGTAGAAAAAACAGAAGCTGTCGCCCAAACGGACGAACAAGTAACCAAAAGCATACCACAATTCAGTAAAATCAGGGTAACTGAGATTAATGATGAGAGCGCCTTTCAATTTGGACAAATTCCGCGTCTGCTAAAGCAGCAGGGACCGCGAGAACAGCAGGCATTAGCACGTCAACATCAAAAGGACAGTTGAGAGATGAATGCAATTGTCTAATTAAATTTAGAACACCTAGGTTTTTTACCTTTAGAGATAGCCATAGAATACTTATTGTAACTTAGGAGTCGAGCAAATACCATAATTACAGCAGTACTTGCTTCTAATAAGTTATTACAATTAACTAAATGGCAACAAAATGTAAATCTAATTCTCGTCTGCCCGTGTAGGATATTTTCGACGCGCAAAAGGACATCTAACTATATACCACAAAAATAATCGTTACTTCAACCCCCAGGGGGGAGAAGTTTTATCTCCATAATTTCATAAATAATAGTTATTTTTAAAAAGGAGGATTTGCAGATTACACAATAGCTATTCGTCCAATTAAATTATAACAATTTAGGCAATAGAGCAAAAAAAACAAGTCGGAAAACATGCTGGAAATTTCAAACATTAGATATCAGAATAATCGCTGCAGCTATTAGATTAATTCATAAAAATCAAACACATGACATGACGGCTTACCTAACAACGAAACACCAGATATCTTGGGCCACAATTGAGACAACTGAAGATGCATGCAGTACACTTTCCAAAAGTGCGGTCTCCTACATCACATACAATAAATGCGGGCGCATTAACTCTAAGGCAAATTTCGTCAATTTACTTGCAAATGAAATGTACAAGTCACTAACCAAGTAGCCAAAGAATTCATGGGGCAAATTTCGAACTGATTTCGATATTTCGACAGTCAACGTTGTAAGAAATTGTTCCACAGCAGAGGAAAGGTGTTTTTGATCTAGAATCATAGATTATCTGGTAAAGAGTAGTTCATAAGGCACAGTGGGCGAATTCGAAAATGGTATAAGGCTGTTAAGAGAAGTGCTTTGGCAATTACGATGCGTAGCTAAAAGATCGGTAATCACAAACTTGATCCCCATCGCACATACGGCGAACTACATGGCAAATACAATTGGTAAAAGCGTTTGCAATGCTGTGCCAACAAGACGCAAGGTGGAAGAGGGGATAAGTAAAAGATTGGGCAAATAAAATATATTTCTGCTAAGCTAAAGAAGTTGATACTCTAAACAATTGAAATCACTTTTTATTATAAGCGGTCATCACAGACTGGAGTAATTTAATTAACCGACCCCGTGCATTACTAACAACTCAAAATTAGGGTCGAAACAGGGCAATCCTAACCAGTTTTGAAATTTAGGAATCGTGGAACGTGAAAGGCCGACGCATTCGACACAGTTTCATAAGGTCTCCAATCAGCAAATGCTGCATCCAGGTTGGTAAAGAACTCTGCATAGGCATTAAATTCCTCAGACAACCATAGTTTGAAGACAGCTGGATCTAAAAGGAACAGTCGAATCGGATAATCGCTATTAAGTTGCTCAAAACGTGTCTATATACAATAGTGGTCATCTCATACCATGGCGTTTAGAAAGGTTGACCAAGACTTTCGAGAGAATCCTACAATTGACGAGGGGAGTTAAATCTAAAAATATAAGGAAGAAACGCAAATGAAATCGCAAGGATAATAACAAAAAGACATTATGCAGAGACATAATGGTCGATATTCAAAATACCACTGATATTAGCGTGCAAACTGACAACCATAATGAAATTACTTAAGCAGGAGAAATCGAATTTCAATCCACCAGTGACAAAATTAGCTCCCGTTATTGGTATATACCTTGGTCCATTCAAATTGCAATTTCTTCAAATATTATTGTGCAATCTTGGAGAGCTACCAATTTTGTTAATAGATATAGAAGACTAGACAGAATAAACTATTGATTTTAATTAATGTTTATCTGAAAACTCCTTCAAACAATGCGTTTGAACCATAAATGAGAAATAAAATCGCAAATCTGTACTTTAACAATAAGATAAAATCATGGAAAATGCTAACTAGTAAGAACAAGAGCCTTGGTAGCTGATGAAGCCTCGTGTCCAGAATCGGATTCAATCTGACAGATGCACTTCAGGATCATTTCTGAGGCCACAAATAGGGACGTAGAAACCTCCTTCAGAAAATTCTCATCTAATCCTGTGCCCGAGCTGAAAAGCCCTCCAGCAAATTGCACTCTAAAACAAAATTAACGTGTTACTTACAATTAATGAGTAGAATATACTTTCAAGTAAGTAACTAACTCGATTATCCATGATATAAAGTCGATCACCCTTCTGTGTGTGTAATTCTCAGTGGTAAGAAAGAGAACAGATTGAAATTGTTGCAAGCAACCGACCATAAGACGACATATAAAAGCAATGAGTTTTAATTTGCCACGCCATTTCGGTTCTCCATTCTCCTCTAAACCATGACTCTTAGTGATATTGGAATAAATTAACGTAATTCAATACTTCAGAGTCGGCGCTGCATTTAATAAAAAGCCGTTTGCAAGAAAGCAACAACGAAGAAATGAATTCATCTGAAATTGGAGTTCCATTGCAACTGTAAAGGTTTTCTAGAAAAGCTTCCTTAATTTGAACATGAAAAGACGCGAGAAGCCTAAAACAGTGAAGGCATTATTACGATCTCACTGTGAAACAAATTTCCAGCCATGAAATGCAAGGAGAAGATCAATATCTTCAGCAGTTGTGGCCAAGCTAGCAGATTTAGCGAGAACTGAGATGGACGCAATAACCAAAATTGTACCAACTTACGATTAGCGAGGCAATCTGGTGGAAAATCGATTCCCTTTAGTACACCCAAGTATGTTTCATTAAGTAAGGTCTAAAATTCTTTATACAAAGAAGTTTAGCATACACGTTGAAATACAGAAATAATCTTCAACAATTCAGCACTTTGATTTAGGCTTTGAGGATTCGTGGATTTCTAAATCCCAAAAGGAATGTTATATAAAATTACTTTGTAAAAATTGTAGGAGCAGATCAGTGCACGAATGAATTCTAATGAAAATTCTGATAATTTATGTGGATTGAACCCATTGAGGTCGGCATTTTTGATAACGCAAGTAGATTCATGAATAGCTTTGGCATACTAAAGACAAAAAAAAATCAAAAAATCGAAATACTTCTTCGTATGTCAGTTCCGAACTATCATTGCATAATATAGAAAATAATCTTTTAATCTAAAAATATCATGAAGTTGACTAGTCGTACTTTCACATCCATTAAGGAGCTATAAACATTCGATTAAATGTGGGCACTAGCTCAGTAATTGCGAATGCAGGTTAAAACCATGTGTCGGATTAATTAAGTTACCTTGAACATGAATAGTGAAATTAGCTAATTTTAAATAAATAAAATTAATCACAATACTTCTAAGAATGGGTTTTTAAGAGAATTTATGGCAAATAATTCATTTTCCATGAAGCATAAAAATGTAAATGTAATATAGTTACTTTGAAGGAAAAATTTTATGTTTAAAGTTGTAAATAAACAAATAATGAAGCGGTTAAATGTAAATGACGCTTAGTAACCTTTAACTTTACCCAATGATATTACTCATTATTTTATAATTGATAGCTTTTGAATCAAATGACCTATCATTACCAAATGAGAATGCTTAAGTCAGTTGATGCTCGAACTTGAATTGTGTTAACTTTTGCATAGGTTATTGCGATATATTTTCCGAGTTACTAAAATTAGGAATTAGTTGTTGATAGAGTACTTATCATGCATCTGTGACTTTTTCCCATTACTTTGAGTCTTTAGCGTCAAAGAGGGTCCTGACGTCCTTGATTTACCGAATTCGATGTTTCTTTTACTCTATAAGTACATATTTTCTTTAAACTACAACGTATAAAGCTCTGAACTCTTTTACAAAAGAGCTTTTTAGTGGCAATGTAATTTTAATAAAGCGGGGATCATAACCTACGCCCTATGAGCTAGCTGAAAATAATACTATTTGCTAAAGAGACATAAATTATAAACAATGTCGCATTCAGTGTAATTTCCCCAAGACTGCTTTATAATAACATTATTATATCGTATTTTGTCAATGCGACACAGATAGTCATTATTTCAATTGTAGGCTTACCTTCATGGAAGATTTTATAGAAAATTTTTATAATAAATGAGATTTTTTCGTGCCAATGTTAGTTTTTTTAATTTTGATTAAAATCATCATTCATATTTTGCGGTATCCATCGTTAACTCAGTTTCATTTTGGAATATATGAGGAAAAAATAATTATCACTTTATATGTGATTTCACATTTTCACAAGAGGACTGATTCCCAAAAATGACAAAGAATAACTACGTCCGTCACCTTCGATAAAGCCCAACTTGACAGATGTATATTTGATTTACCTAAACACCCATAGGTTGTTTTACTCATCTTCAGTAAAACAAATTATTAAAACTTCATCGATGTGGCACTTTATTTCTTTTTACTGACCATTTACACGGATAAATGTGAATATGGGATATTTGTTGGCTTATATTATTTAAAAACAATTTGAAGCAAATGTTGCGATTCCAAAAAAGGTGGAGTTTTAGATTCGTTAATTAGTTTTATCTTCAGGTTGTCACGTTTTTGGGCTTATGTGTACAAGTACTAATAGGAGTTTCATTAAATCTCATTTATTCTTATTAATTCAAAGGTATGATAAGATCAACTTCGTAAGAGATCAGATATATTAAATCTTTGGCAAAATATCGTGAGTTTAGGATCTGAAATTAAGGCATAATTGACTTATTTCAATAAAATTTTTACGATGTGGAACATATCTCCCAGTGAATTAATACTCATTTTTCAAGGATTTCCGAATTATTGTTAAAATACGTGAATATATTTTGACATTAAGTTTAGTAAATATATGTTTAATGACGCCCTTTTAAAAATTCGTGAAGTTGCTGGGACAGTCAATATGGTAAGGAATATGGTATCAAAGTAATTGTTTAAACCTTGGCCATGTGAATAAGGATCAATGGTCGAAATCCCTTAATATATATAACGAAAATTTCTCTGACATTTACATTTTTATGTGATTTTAGCTTGTATGTTTTCACAGTTGCATGAAATTTCCCTTCTCTAGTGACTGTACTTTTGGCTCGTCGTAGATAATAATAATAATAATAATAATAATAATAATAAAATCAATTCGATCAATAGATAATTACAGAGAAGTGGATTTGGCCGAGGAATAAAAAATAAGTCAGTGGGGTGTGTGTGTGTGTGGTGGCAACTCACGCTGGTTAAGTCAAATCAATAAAAAAGGCTCTTTACCCATGTGTCTCTATTCCTTAATTCAAGGAAAAAGCAACAATCGTTTTTACAAGTTGGCCTTTGAAGTTTTATTTAAATGGACTCGAGAGTTATTTTTAGTTAATCTTTTTGAAAGGAAAGTGAAATATGAGATTTCTGTCTCGAAAGTAGGTATTTTTAAGTAGCTAGATTTGCGGTGGATGCGTTCATTCCTTAAAACTGTTAGGAAATTAGATAACTGAGAGCTTCGATTTTAAGCTGTTCTTCGTCATGAACGCTAGATTCCGATATTCATTACTTATGGATTTTCAATTCTCATTTCATAAAATAAATAAAATTGATAAGATATCATTCAATGTTGTACACCTTGAATTTACTATCTTTAAATTATTCAATTGGTGTCGCCACACCCATCCTTAGAGTCGTGGACCTGATTGGTACCTTATAGTACTTATATTTTTAGACAATGCAAGTTGCCTTATCGTTTTACTTCACGAAAAATGTTTGAATCGAGACGCACTAATGATGATTCGAGTGTAAAATCATTTACAATAGATTTGAGTTGAGAAATTGGGCCGTACTGAAAAACTCGAGCCATTTTCTTCACACTTTCTGATGTCATGATCAGTAATTTTCAATGCTGAGCAGTACTTCCTCTTCCCATTTCCTGCGTAATGTAGGAACAGCAGCCACTTGTACGTTGAAGACTATTTGGTTCTACCAAATAGAATACCCATAAAAGGCCTGCTATATTCGAGTCAATTAGGCTTCGCAACCTACTTCTTGTTTTATTTTATTATCATTCATATAATAATAATGGGAAATATGAGTTTTAAACTTTATTAATTTACGCGCGTTAGATTGCCCTTCCAACTGAATTATTCATTATTTAAATGTATGAATTATAAAAATGAAAATACAATTTCCTAAGCTGTCATAATTTTCTCATTGCACTTTACAACAGGAACTCTACTTTTGACCGTTCTCGAAATACCTAACTTATTCTAGAAGAAAATAATTGTTTTTAAAGTGTCTGAACTTCAATTTGTTCATTACGCTTATTTAATTATTTATATCTAATGGCAGGTGTTTTGATAGCTATCATTAGCCCTTTAGTTGACGTCGGACTTCACAGATTGGAAGAATATCAAAGAGGGAAAAGTCGAGAGGGGGAAACAGAAAAACGATTCACAGACGCAAAATAGACAGACAGACACAAAGGTAGAGAAAAGGTAAGGCAAGATTAGTACTGTGAAGGGGTCGAATATGGTATATAATCGGGTTATGGTGGTTAGAAGTCAGAAGTCAGCGTTTGAAGTGAGAAGTCAACTGCCGATTGATAGACTTTTATTTGAAGTCAGAAGTCAACTGCCAGTTAATAGACCTTTTCAGTCAGAAGTCAACTGCCGGTTTATAGACTTTTTTGCCGTTTGAGTAGTCAGAAGTCAACTGCCGGTTAATAGACTTTTTTGTGAAGTGAGAAGTCAACTGCCAGTTAATAGACCTTTTTGCGTATGAGTATATGTTGCCCAGGGTGCACCACGTGGAGGTAATTCTAGCGCACACCCCTGTCCACTATGCTTAATTCACTGGCTGCACTCAATCACTACTTGTCAATAGTCTGTAGTAGATCAACTTTGGTAGCACACTTCCTTCTCCAGAGAATGGGTGGCCACACCCTCTTTAGACTTCAAACTCTGAGTGCACTGATGATATAGCTTACCGAAGCCGGACTTAATCGTTGCCAGTATGAGGTCATCATCATTCACTGCTGTAAGTTGATGAAACAGAAGTCAAACAACTATTCCATGCTATTCAAGTCCGAAAAATAAAATTTTCCCAAAAAAATGTTTTTTTGGATAAACATTCATCCAATATAAAGAAAGGCAACAACTTAGCGCAACTTGTTCATAAAATCAACATTTCCAAGAACATTTAAAAAGGGTTTCCTTGGGAAGTGGGGAAGGGTCTCTGTGACTGTATTTTTGAGGCTACAAAAGATATTAATTTGACGCTGCATGAATTTCACCCCTTCGTTGAGGAATATATATATATATATATAAGTCAAGCGAATGTTAGTAATGGGACTCGATCGCTGTCATTATGCTGACCAAGACATTTATCGCCCATAAAGGTCGACATAAACAGTTAATGGGTGGGGGAGGAGAGACTTACACAGTAATAATATCTTTATTTATTTCAAATGGCAGGCATTTTGATAGTTATCATTAGCCCTTTAGTTGACTTCGGGCTTCACAGAAGGGAGAAACATAAAAGTGAGAAGAATTCGACAGGCGAAAAGAATAGCGATTCACAGATGTAAAAGACAGACAGACACAAAGGCAGAGAAAAGGCTAGATGAGTACTGTGGAAGGGGTCGAATATGGCATACAGTGG